TAGTAGTAGTTAGTAGTAGTAGTTAGTAGTAGTAGTTAGTAGTAGTAGTTAGTAGTAGTAGGTAGTAGTAGTAGTAGTAGTAGTAGTAGTAGTAGTAGTAGTAGTAGTAGTAGTAGTAGTAGTAGGAGTAGTAGTAGTAGTAGTCGTAGTAGTAGTCGTAGTAGTAGTAGCAGCAGGAGTAGTAGTAGTAGCAGCAGTAGTAGTAGTATAGGACTAGTCGTCGTCGTCTCCGTATTGCAAAAGGACAAACAAAGTTATAGAGGTAGAAGTGAATGCAGTTGCAGTTCTTCGTCTCATAGTTCTTGGAGAAGGAGCAGGAACAGCACTAGTACTACTAGTTGTTCTTGGAGCAAGTAGTTTGCACTTTGAATTGCAGCAGTTGTATCAGTCTGTCATAAAGTCGTAGCCCAACCCAAGAACTGGTTGCAGCTGTGGTACGAATGGGCAAATATGGGTATATACTAGCTGCTGTCGAGCGGGAAAGCTGGTGCTCCTTTAAGAATTTGGTAAAGCAGCAGCAGCCAAAGTGGTGGTGGTGGTGGTACATGGTGGTGCTGCATGGTGGTGCATGGTGGTGCATGGTGGTGGTGGTGGCGGCGGTGGTGGTAAAGTAATGGCAACAGCAATCACAGCCGTAGCTATCGCAGTGGCTGTTCCATTTCCTGCTAGTAGTGCCAAGAAATCTGGTGTGAACCCTGTCGCATGCTTCGTATCCTTCCGCATCCATGTCGCACGCGAAGCACTGACCCGTCCTTGGTGGGATTTTTGCCCAGCACCTTCAGGTGATTCCTTGAGATCAGCCGAGCCGGCCGAGCACACGCAATCTCTGAGCATTTATGCACACACCTTATAATAGTACATCATCTCTTGGCATTTGGATATGCATGTTTTCCGATCAAATAGAACTGTTTGAGAATGTTTGAGAGCCGCGCAAGCAGGGCAAACAAAGTTGAAGCAGTGCCTCTCAAAGAATACCCCAATTTTTTGATCACATTTCAACACCGCAAGCAACAATCGTTAAAAACACTATAAGGGTGCCACTTGCGACCAATCACATTCTCACCCAGCCACTTGCCGAACTACCCTCCCAGTCAAGGAGCCGAAAGCGCTCGAAGTCGAGCCTCAAATGAAAGACTAATTCATGCGCTGATCTACTGTCCAAATCCTACTGAATCGGTTGAGCGCCCAGTCCAAGCTAGGGGAAGAACACAGTCACGTCTTATTCCAATTTGTTTCGATGGAGCCGCAACAACATCCTGCAGTGGCAAGGTGCCGTGGGACTATGATTGCACAGAGGAACCCTCAAACCCCCGTACTTGGCACAACAAGCGACACGTGGGTTGCACGCTGATCCATACCGCTAAGTTAATACTATTTATCAAATGTTTCGACGGTCTTGATTGTTTAGGGACGAGTCCACAACTCATAGCCATGAAGCCATGAACATCAGCTCAAGTTTGGCGATTTCAACACATTTCATAATAGACGAGAAAACCCAAGGGAAGGAACTGCTCAACAGGTTCCAAGACTGTTCACATCCACCAATCATTATTTCGTAGAATTTGACTACTTTCCGATGCCGTGGCTGCTATGGTGACATTTCGTTCTCACAACACAGGAACTCGGCTTTGCACTGCCACGACTGTGTCAATGTGTGGATCTAACTCAACCGTGATAGGGTGCCATGGATTTCTGGAGAGGTGCCTAGTGTGTGCATAAGTCGTCACTTTTTTCCAAGGCAAAAACGAACCCTCCACACTTCATTTTGCCCCAAAGCTAAGGAGCATCGCCGTTACTGCAAAGTTTGGGAAAATCGTTATGAAGGCATTGCTCAAGATCACTCGCTCGCACTCTGAGCGTGGCTCGCCAAGCTTATCAAGCCTGCGCACCCAGGAATTCTCAACGAGTGTTCGTCCAATTCATAGCTTGTATTGTTGGATGATGTGTCAATCACTTTATATATATATATGTATATGTGATTTTGTGTAACCAAGTGAAAAAACCGGTTGGAAACTGCAAACAAACGAAGCACAAACAATTTGCCAAAGCCAGCGGAACAATGCAACTCAAAATGGCAAGGAAAACGTCGTAAGAGTCAAGGTGAAGAACAAGAAGCTAGATGAGATATGCCCAATCAAGTTCGATGGGAAAGCGGTAAAGAGAGGGCTGGATTTGTCTTGTAATTCCCCACCTGTCAGGTGACGGTTGTTAGATTTTATGTCCGCTGCCTTCCTCCTCCTCCTTCTCCTCCTCCGCGTCCACCTCGTCCTCAACCGCCAGCTCCGGATGGCAGTGTTCCCCGCCGGACCTCAACCGCAAGTACAGGATGGCAGCGTTCTCCGCCGGACCTCAACCGCCAGCTCCGGATGGCAGTGTTCCCCGACGGACCTCAACCGCTATGGCCGGACCTCAACCGCGAGCTCCGGCTGGCAATGTCCCCCACCAGACCTCAACCACAAGTTCTGCTTGGCAGTGTTCCCCGCCGGACCTCAACTGCGAGCTTCGGCTGGCAGTGTTCCCTGCTGCACCTCCACCGCGAGTTCCGCTTGGGACTGTTCCCCACCGGGCCTCAAAGGCCAGCTCTGTGTAGATTACTATGACAATATGTGTTCTCTGTGACTGTCTTGTTGAGGTGATCACTCGGAGTGCATCTGCTTGCAAGCCGATGACAGGTGCAGTGAGATGAAGCTGGGATGTTTCACAATACCAACATGTTGAGGGCTTCGTGGGTTTCCGGACACTCAACTTATCGGACTTATCGTCTTGGAATTCACTAATTCCAAGACAACAAGTTCAGTGCCTTTTGAAGACCGTTCAGTCCAGTCCCCGCTCCATGATCTGCATCTGAAGGCACCTTTTCTCTACACGTCTTGTTCCCAACTGAGCCATGACCGCTCACTGTACATTTGAGCTGGCGGACAAGTGTCTTGCACAGCTTCTCTATGTATTCTCACAGCCTCGAGCATTGAGCCCAACCCTGGATGTTGGCTGAACCACAAAGCTGCGAGGCCTTCAGCGTGCTCTCGTTGCAGCTTTGCATCGCAACGCCCAAGAATACCCAAGTAGTCCCGCGAACGACACTTCACCAAGTAGACAAAGACACGTGAAGGTCGATCTACGCGAGTAGTAACACGGACGAGACTGACCCCCCCCACCCACCCCTTCCCCCGAAAACCCTGTGAACTGATCGGATACATGTTGACGCTGGGGCAACCCCGCCGCGTTGGCCGAACATGTTACTATAGAAAAAACAAGTGGGGCCTGATTATGTGCATTACTTTCATGTTATAGTGGATTGAAATGTCATGGTGGGGATCTCTCAAGGTGAAGTATTTTTTCTAATGGTCTCTATGTGTCTATGATTTATATGATATGGTATATTTTCAGCCACACACAGTGGAAGCTTAGACACAACAACATAAGCCTACACCACTAGGGCAAGTTTGTTCTTGAAGGCTCCAACATGAAAACCCAATTCCCTGAGAATCCTGCAAGGCACTTAGGTCACCTCACACCGTCGCATGCCTCCCTCCAAAGCTGTTTGGTTGGTATATAATGTATTACATTGTTTAAACACGGGTTGTATTTGACCGTCCCACACTGGCCACGCGAAATGGACTTCTTAAATCAACAGCGGCTCATTCACATAGATGTTACAAGACCCGGTAAGAAGAACTTAAACGCTTTCATCCTCTTAAAGTGTTGCATCCTGACTGCTGACTTGCTTCAACCGAATAACGACATGTAGTTACACATGTTGCTCCATGTTGCTCCCTTGCGTGGAGAGGTACTGGGCGCGAGACGTCAAATGAGTCAAATGGAATGCAAGTCTCCAAATACTCAGCAAACAGCCAGGCTCCCCCTTTGAGAGCCACAACTCGCAAAGGAATCTCAGATTCATGTCTTTCGCCAGCCTCTCATGCTCAGGAGTAGTGAAATCTGTGTGAGGTGGAACACGGCAAGCCTGCAAAGAGTGCCAAGCTCCGACGAAAACAATGGCAAAGGGAGCAGGGCACGGGCACGGGCATTTTTCCAGCAAACTGCTGACAAAGAATCGTTTATGAGGCAGTTTCACAGGAACAAACATGAAAAAGAAGTGGTTTGTGTTTTGCCACACATGGGATGAAGATTTGATGTGGTTCTGCAAACACAAAACTGTCTGCTCAACTGCATCGTTGCAAAATCACTACTTGAAACTCCTCATAGCTGAAGACCCAGGGAAAAAACAAACGCTCGCATGCTGGAAGACACCCAAGGTGATGGAACGAGACGTATTTTATCAAAGATTGAAGAACTGGCGGAGTCCCCTTTTCGACTGCCACATTTCCTTTGATCAACTGTTTACAGTTGGAGCTCCATGGAGCTCCCAACGTCAACAAAAACCTTGAAATCCTGTAGAGTAGGTGACGATTGAAATCTGGCAAAACAAGTCACTCCATGTCCAGTTGCATCAAACTGATTCCATTCTTGTGGAACCTGCCTCATCAAAAAAGAGGTCAGCACCATGCTGAGCAGACCTTTGCCCGCAGTGAGCAGCAATCGGTGAAGCTGGAGGTGTCTGGGGTGCCTGAAGCTGTTACATCAACCACAACAGGTGCGTTAGGTATTATACATATATAATATATATAGTAAATTCAATCACCTCAAAGAACTCCGTGTCTTGAGGGAAGAAGCCCTATCCTACTACCCGCCTACATTTGTTCACTCAATTGAGTCCACATCAAGATCAGCCAAGCCCACCAAGCAATAGTAAATGCATCAAAGACTCGGAAAGTCTTGTATGGTCAATTTTTTAGACATTCATCAATATCCATCATTGCCACTGCCAGTCCTTCAAATCCCCACCCTCCCGATGGTATTGGATCCCCACGCATTCCCCCTAGCTGCCACTACCACAGCCACTCTCCCTCCCGCCCTACCAAGGTAAAACCGACTCTGGGTGATGGACTCGTCGATCTTGAACCACTTTCGCATTCGTGCCAAGCCTTCCATGTTGGCCTGAGATCAAAGACTTTGCAATCATGCGAGGTGCTTCTGGGGTCGGTTCCAAATTCTTTGGTGCCAAGCATGGTGCTATAGGCTTTGGGCTACGGAGCGCATCATCTGACTCAAACTGTTAACATACTACACTACAAACTACTGTATGCATCTGGCTTTGTTCCCAACAAATAAGCTGGCAACAGTATTATTGCTGCCTAGCCATTTCCACACGGGCAGCAATGATTTATAATGGTTTGTTTGGCAACGGTCCGTTTCTAAGGATGCCAAACCAATTCAGCTGGGTTGCAGTCTAGTCATCAGCAATCATTGGCAGCTAGACTCTAGGCTTTCAATGGAATGGCAGGACAGCGTGATATCACTATGATGATGCATGATCTAAAGGCTGCCAAATATCCGGTGGCTTCTCAGGAGCCTCACGGCACTTGTGCATTCAACTTAAGGCACTTTCCTGATGCCTGGGAGAGCATCTTCGGACCCAAAACTCATTACTGTATGGACAGTTAATGACAACACCATGTTCAACAATAAAAAATATTAATCAATCATCTCCCCTTAAAGGCTGTTTCTGCAGGACTTTCTCTTTGTGACTCTCCTCATATTGGAGTTTGGATACCTTCCCTGTAAAGTGCCTGGGCATGTCTTGTTGGTCTGCAAACATGAGGGTCTTTCAAGCCTGCTCCAACATGTCAACTTCTCCAGAACTTCCTGAGAAACTGCAAAAATGGAAGTGCAATCTGAACATTTTAATATATTTTAATGCTAGGCTCAACGATCTCCGGACTGGCCCATCCCGCATGACAAATCTGAAGGAATGAGACTCCCGCACCGATGGAGCGCTTCCAAATGCAACAAAGGGACACGCAAATTCTCGAGCAAAACCCAGTTCGGGTGGTTTACAAACTCCCCCTATACTATGTACTTACCATCCCAAAACCATCCTTTGGGTGGTGCTGGATACTGTGTCCTTATGTTCTTAGCGAGTTCCTGGGTCACCCCTAAATTACCTTGGGGAGCAAGCTCCCCGGACAGCAAACACAAGAAGCTACTAGGGGCTCCTGGCATCGCTACTAGTAACACGAAGCTACTAGGAATAAGCTTCAGTCGTCACCATCCAACCCCACACTCAGCGACACACTCACCCCACATCAGCGACGAGTCACGTAGGGCCGATACGACTTCCCTACGTTGTTCGGGTCCTCAACGGACGGGGCGTCGGAACGCGATGCAAACAAACCTAGGTACGAAATGATACGAGATACTGTCTGTATGTCAGGCCACGGCGGCCTTGAACATATGAAAATGACGAGTACAAGCAAACATGACAGACGAGATCGATAAGACAGACATCACAGAATGGAACATAGTGACTCGTTCTTTTACCTTTGCTCACACAAAGACTTAGGAAGGCTGCAAGCTAAGCGTGAGCAGTTCACATCACCAGGTCCTCCCAAACATACTGGTCCTCTTAAATCTTTGAACAGGCCTTACCAAGTATATGAGTTAGCGTCAAAAATATATGCTTGGAGTGTTTTCGTTTCACTTTTGTCAGTCCCCTATCATTTTTCAAGGAAAATCACGAAAGCAACACAGAGATGAAACGTCCCTTAAAGTGGTTGATGATAATTTTGAGGTTGCCTCATATGCGGCTGAACAGGAATGTTCTCAGACAAACCCTATACTTGCACACTGAGTGGCTTCAGAATCGGGAAGCAACACAAGTTTGTTTTATTGTTACTTCATTTTTAAGAAAACAATGGTGAACATAACTACAAACAACTAACACCTTAGAAGTTCGGACTCTAGCTTGTACACCGTACACAAACAGCATGCAAAGCTGAAAACTGACAATTGGAAACAAAGAAAGCCCTAGTGGCCCAAGTAGCTTCGTGACCATTGCTTGCACTGGTTGCTTTTGCCGATCGCGAGAAGGACGCGCGCTTCGGAGCGTGGGTTCCCCGCGAAGCACGCTTCCGGGTGCACCTTGGTCCATTCTCCGAAGGCAGTTCCGGGCAAAGCTTTTGGCTTGGAGATCGCATCGATGCCTCGGGGCCGACCAGTGGATGGTGTGGGGGACATGATGACAGGTGTGTTCTCCGTTGATCTTAACCATCTATTCTGAGAAACGGCCATACTGTTTTGGTGATAACAACTGATAATAATAACAATGTAATTATGGCAAATAGGGTAGTTGGTGCGTCAATTGCAAATCAACATGACCACATGTTGATATGGATGGATGGATGGATGGATGGATGGATGGATGGATAGACAGATAGACAATTAGATAAACAGATACATAACTAGATAAATATATAAATACTTAAATCAATATAATTAGATCGATAAATTGATACACATTGAGGCACTGGCATGCGCAAAAATGCGCATCGAGGCAATGGTTAAAAGAATGTTGGAACTGTCCAAGACTGCCAAAGTTTGTCCTCACCCCCTCAGTTTCCGAATAGTCAAGGTCGAGTGATTTTCATCTCTTAACATTTCGTCAGGAGGCTAATGCACAAAGGCTAAGCCCTGGAAAGGTATGTCAACTACTCTGGGCTGTTGCATCATCGAAGTGATGTGTCAATGTATTGCTGCGGTGGGAGGTTGTTGATCATCTGAGCACATTTAATGACTCATAAATACTCTTTTCCCACCAGTTCTTGTTTAGTGGGGAAGCCCATTATCAAAAAAGGTTACAGGTTCACTGACGGGATAGGTTTGGGTTGACTTGGTCATGCTACTGGGTTCACGTGGTCTCGTGACGTCTGGTTGACTGCATGGCACCTGCTGTACGAAGAGTGTTCTCACAAAGAGGAGAGCATGATGTCGGAAAACATGGCAGAACAAATGTCTATATATGTCTACTGTAAGTCCAAGGACTGATTTTGTCTAAAAAACAAAAATGGTGTGTTCAGTGGGACGCCCCCCAAAATGAGGCCCTGGCAGCTGGAAATGCGGCGAAAGTGTGATAGCACCTGTGGCAACGCAGGCGCAGTCTGTGGTCCAACATGCGTGGTCGCAAAGGAATCTGTAGAGGTTTGCGCGAGTCTCTCTAAATATATAGATATATTATTGCATGGGTTGATGAGGTTTTGAAAAAATCTTTCACACCTAGACTTAGACGGAGCAATCACCCCCCTGAAAGTTCCGCTTATTCATTGCATGCTTTGCATTTCCAAGGGTCTAATTCAAATTCAAAGAAATAAGTTGTTTTGAAGTAAATTCAATAAGTACTGTATGTCAAACATCTAGATTGTACTGACATGTACTGACAAGTACTGACAGTGATGCTCCGTGCAGGTTATTGAAGGATCTCAAAGTACATGAGACGCAACCTGGGTTTCATTGGTGATTAGTGCAGAACGTTCTCCAGCTTTGAGCTTTCGGCAGGAGGTAACTAATCCTATATACAGTATATTTATAATCCTGAAAAGGTTGATCAACTGTTAGCAATCTCCGACTGGAAGGGGGATTGTCTTGGAAGCGCTGCGGGCTGGCCTCCTGCTGCCTTGCCAGTGCGGCGTCCGTGAGCAGGGAAACATAGCGAAGAGCCACATGCAGGGGATGCAGTGCCCGCTGTGCTGCCTGCAATGCATGGACTCCTCCCTTGAAACCTCGTCAACCTCGTGATGATTCCTAACAGCGATGGCCTCCGACCTAAGTGCGATGGCAATCCGGGGACTCTGCCCTTGAAAACCAAACACATTTGTGGATCCTTCCGTATATGATAGATCAATTGTGATTAATTCAAGCTCTCTAGACTCTCCAAACAAAGATATGCTACCAACAAGGGACTCCTTGCTCAAAGGCCCCTATCTTTGGGACCAACCCCCCGGCCCATGGGCGTTGTTTGTCTCAAAGCTCTTTGACACAGCGACTGGGACTTGGGATTTTACCTCGTGATGATTGCAGGCTATTCTTCCTAATAGCAATGGCCTCCAACCTAATAGCGATGGCCTCAACCTAATAGCGATGGCCTCCAACCTGATACTTATTATCTGAGAATACCACCTACGGATGCGGTCTTTATTATTCAGCAATGGTCAAAGTCAAAGAGCCTCGGCCAATTCAACAATGGTTGTCTTGGAACCAGGTTTGATATGAGCCAGTGTCAGCAACTCTTTATCTTGAGCGTATCCATGACTAACTAGGCTATCGTTTAGGTTTTTGGCGTCACCTAACGTTTTCCATGTCAAAACCCATCAAACAGGGTACACAAAATTGCCTTGCTCCAAGGTCAAGGAACTGGACATCCATCATTTTTTCGCCAGTTTGGTTGTGGCAGAAAATCATTCCGCTTGAGGCTTCCCAGCAGCATGATTCTCCAATCTTATCTGCATTGTGCTCACAGTGTATATTTATATTATGTCAATTCTACGCAGTGGAAGAGAACATGTTGAATCACAGGTGATTGGATCGAACAGGCAATCCAGTCCAAATATTTCATGAGACTTGCGGGTCTTGGCCACTGCACCTTGTCTTCTTGCTGACTTGAGCTCGCCCCAGATTCCTGGGATATGCGCAAGAGGATACCCAACATTCTAGGATGTGAAACGTCTTCCGGTATCTAACAGCATTTATGATGCAGGCAAAGGAATGGAAAAGTCAATGGATGTTCCACTCTCAAAAGCCAAAGTCAATGGCTGCCCAGGAAAGCAGCCGAGTTGAACCACCCGATTCCATGTTACAGCAAACGTCCATCATACTCTGAACACCTGATAGCTCCGCTGGGTATAATGAAGTCCAAACCAATCCAAACCAGCTGAGCCATTGATACTGTGGGTGGAGTGGGTCCAAGCGGTTGGTTCCTTCAGCAAATCTATTCAATGTCGATCTCTGAATTGGAGCAAGCTGCTGAAAACAATCTCTCCAAGTGGTCACCTGCAAGACTTGCTATACATGAAACATATGTTGGTTGGCCAGTTTGAGAGATGGCCGGTTGGTCTGTCTGATCTGATGGTTGGGGCACTGATAAAACCTGCTTCCAGCTTTGCTACAACGTGGTGAGCAGCAACTTCATGTGTCCACTACACAAAACAATTTCAAGCAAGATCGTCCGCTCTTGCTCTAGTAAATAGAAACAATAAGCTACTAGGAACAAGTGCATCGCTACTAGTAACAAGTGCCTTACTAGTAGAAACAATACAGTATATAAATAAGAATTCAATTAGCAAAGAAGGCTCCCCCTTTCGGCGTTCAATCTGTTCATGTAACGCGTCACTTTATGCCGCTTGAAAGGACACCTAAGGACGCGGCAGAGTGACCTTCGACATAGCCCCAGTGCAGCTCCGGGGGAATATGGAAGGTGAATAGCGTCGCACATGTCTGTAGACCTATTCTTGAAATCTCTAGTCACGTCTAGACGGTTTTTTCTTTTCATCTTGATTGCACAGAAGAAGACCGGAGTCAACCAGCGAAGATGGGCAACTCACTGTGATCACAAACAGTGTGTACAAATGTATATATATATATTATATATTATATATTATTAAATACATTTAATTCCAAATATGCACAACAAGGTCTGGGTTGAAAAACACTCAAAGGCTTTCCACTTTGCTTCTTTATGTCAAAAACCTTTCAGCAAATGTCCTGGCGTTTCGAATCGGTATTAACGGCCCGGACGTCCCCATTCACACCCAGGCCTACTTCTCGAGTCCGTTTCTTCTCAGATACCAACAAAGCCTCCAAAGCCTCCCGGGACCTTGGCCGAAGGAGGCCGGCGGAACTCGAAAGAGGCACGGGACCGACCGGTGCCCCCATATGAAGGGCTCTGTCACTCCAAATGGGTGGTTTTATTAATCGAGAGTCTACATTACACACGCAAATCACAAACCCTGGAGGAGTCATGATCAAACTGCAGGAATTTGAGGACACTTCTGTTCCCACGTGGAAAATCCGAGGAACAAATATGGAAACATCATTTTGTTGAACTCTGGTCAGCTAAATTATCGCAACACCGGTATAACATGCAAGTTTGAGTTGAATTTTCTGGGCCTGAAAATTGATTTGCTTTAAAGGATCCCCGATGTAATCCTGTCGAATCTGAATCTGGAGCCCCGGTGTAGTGGTCATAGGGTCTTATAGGCCTTGTAGGTCCTAGATCCCTAGATCAGAAGTTCTCCCGGCAAGAAACCCCAAACAGAGTTGCATTAAAATTGTGCGAACCACTCACATCTGTCGTGAGTTTCATATAGTTTCATGTCGGAGACCTTGAGGCTTAAGGTCTATACCTTTAGCATCCTCTAGCATCGGGTTCCAGAGAGATCTGGGGATCTATCTAGAGGTCTTGAGATCCAGTGATCTTGAGATCCGGAGATGTAAGTATGTAGAGGTCTAGTCTAGAGATCTAGTCTTGAGATCCAAAAATATCCACAGCTCTAGGTCCAAAGGCCTGGAAACCTAGAGGTCTCAGTGTGTTTTGAAATCCAGGGAACTAGAGATGTCTACAGGTCTTGATATACAGCGTAGCTGTGGAGTTCTCAACATCTAGACATTCAGACTTTGAGAGGTCAGAGAAGCCCAGAGTTGTAGAAATTCAGAGGTGTAGAGAGGTCTATATAGAGTCTAGACAGATCTCCAGGCCCAGAGATGAGAGGTCTGGAACATGAGAGGCCTGGAGATCCAAAGGTCTTGACGGTCTTGAGATCACAAAGACAAAATGTTCCGCATGCCACGAAATCTCCACATCAAAATAAAGCCAGTCTGATCTCCTGCACCTGCCACGCAAAGTCGACTTTGGACCACCAAAGCATGAGGTTTCCCTTGCGCTTGAAACGAAAAGGCAAAAAGCGATCACCAAGTCCGAAAATGTGCACAGCACCACAACGAGAGCGTAGTCGAGGAAAGCACCCGCTCCGCCCCAGCAGATTCTGCGAGCCTGTGCAGTCGAAATGCACTTCGAGGATCTCGTGAGAGGCATGCATGTAGTGTACATAGCAATGACTTGGCGGGACATGCCGATGAGTATCACCGATCAAACACCCAGCCTTAACTATTGTCGGAAGAACCCCTAGTGTGACCACATTGTTTGAAGAAAAAAGACGTCAGCCTTTAATAAAAGCGTTGATCTCTGTATTTAAAAACAAAAATATTCGTTCTTATCCTGATCTCAGGATAGCCAAATATAATCAAATATCCCAATCTGTCTAAGCACTTTCATCGCTCCCGCCGATCCCAGGCAGCCCCGCTTCACCGCACTGCTGCGAACCTCACCGAAGCGATGGCGGACAGGCCAAGGAGCTCTTGAAAGCTTCGGCGGGCCTCCACCAGCCCTTGAGTCTCACTGTCGGAGAGCTCCTTGAAGAAGCCTTCCCTCGGACATGGTCTTTGATGAGACGATGATTTTGGAGCAAACACAACGGAATTCTCGTCAGCGGAAAGCCCAGAATTCGACCTGTCTTGGACTGAAAGGATACATTGACTTGACCACCAAATCTTTGGAGGTCAACCTTTCCAAGCCAGGATCCTGCACAAGTGAAAAGCAGGCGCACCTCAGGGGCCCACATCTACCTTAAGAAGGAAGAAACCGATTAAGGGATGGAAAGGGTCTATTGATTGAAAATGGGGTGCATCTCAAATCCAATGGCAAGCTTGAACAAACACCTGCAGGTCAGCGGGCCGGATACTTTCAGCCATGGATTTCCCACCTGGTGTATACCTCTCAGAAGGGTGTAGCCCTGCAGCTTAGGGGTCTCTCTCAAATACATTATGTAATTACATGTTGGACGGCCAGAAAACAAAAAGACCCTGAGCAATGCACTGGACAGTCACATGTTTTTGGTGACACGGGATTTCACAACCGTGGACGCGTTCACTTTTTTGTTGGTTCTTGTACATGTATACGCGTGGGACGTTGATGTTATGGGTTATGTTCACGTTCATGTTGCCCGGGGTGGGGTGGGGTGGGATGGTGCATGTTAACGTTTATGTGCACTTGCGTGGGAGAGAATCTTCCAATGGATCTATCCGCATAATTCCTGAGTATAGCAGCAAAATGGCCGCTGAACAACTTTTTTTGTCGTAAGTCGCACAATTCCATGCTTTTAAAGCGTACCCCAAACGCAGGCGATTTGCTCACACACGATCAAAAATGCACGGTTGCGAAAAGCTGTGCACCATGTTTTCTACTGAACAAATGGGTGCAAACATGTGCAAAAGGTGCAAAGAACTGATCCCAAGCAAAAGCCCTGCGCCATTTCGGAGGCGCCAAAAAAAGGTGCAAAGAACTGATTGCTTCCCTACTCTCCGCTTTTCAAGTGCCAGGGCACCATGACAGCATCAGGTTCTTCCGAAGACCTCAGGACTCGCAGAGTCGAGACTTGCCAAGTCGCAAGACACACGGTGGTTGGAAGAGACACAGTCTGCGCCCCCGAAAACACCAAACATACTGTATGTGTTGCGCAAACGGTCTGAAACAACATATATAACAACACTTCTGCATTGAATGGTAGGCCTTGCTGTTGAACGGGAAAGGGCGTTGTTCTCTTGACGCCCCGACGCCCCAGCATTGCTTTTGTCAAAGCAAAACATGCGGAATCATAGCGGACTCCCTGTTCCAAATGAGCACAGTTCACACAGGATTGATTGAAAAAGGACAGGACTAAAGAGTTATTTTGCTCTTTGGGACCCTGTATAATTTGTTCATGGGATGAGTACACGACATCATGGACAACCTGGTGCGATTGACAGAATAAAATAGGCAGATCCGCACCCAAACCAAGCCCGCAATTCATCTCCCCTCCACAATTCATCTTGAACCAGGGGCCCACAACTTCTTACTCCGGTAATGCGGATGGTCATGAAAGGAATCTGTTCAAGCAATTTGACATTGATCATTGGATTGACTTTCCAGCACCAAGCGCTATCTTGTTACACAAGAAACTGGCGGCCAAACCAAGCTCGATTTCCGGAAGTTCTTTGTTGGTACTTTAACCTACGCCCACGTGATCATGTGGGGGCAATTCTTGAGGCTGAGGAAACTCCTAAAGCCCCTTGCTGGAAGGGAACATCTACTGTACTTCAGGACACAACAATTTCGTTGGTTGCAAGAAGTTGCGAGGGATCCGATCCAATCAATAAATACAAATGTAAATACATATATTTATAGTATACCTATATAAATCTTTATAATATAACATAACTATAACATACAATAAACAGCATACTGCATCCATCAATCATCTGTCGTCACCAAGCCTCCCACCGGCTTCCCCCAAATGACATGCCCCTGCCTTGGCCACGGATGCCTTCGATTCTCCACTTGTCCAGGGACACTTTGATGGTATTCATGATGGTATCCAGTTGGGCGCTCCTCGTGAGGACTTCGCGACCAGTTTGACCATGGAGATGGAGAGTCGACCAATTGTTTTTTGAGATCTGCGGTCAAATGGCATCGTTGTGATCATGATGCTTGCTGTTAAGTACCCCTTCATAGAATTAGGAAATCAAACAGCCCAATGAGTTTGCTAACGCAGATTTCAAGTGGGATACCACATGCAATGTCTGGACTCTCGAACACAACGGACATGGAAGCAGTGAAGTGGAGCTTTCTTCTAGTGGTCAGGTAGCCATGGGCCTCCTAAGAATTCGGGCTGGTTGGAGCAGCGACACCGTCGGAGATTCTATAAATATAAGTGCAAGTCTCTAGGCTGACAAGCTCGAGGTATTACATCAATCATGAAACATGATTGCATGCTTGCATGCTGGGTCCTTGGCTTAGCCCAGTTGTCATTGCAGCCGAAGAATCACTAAGGGAATCTAAGGAAGGAAATCTTGGCAGGTGCATCCGGCTGGCCAAGCCGGATATTCCATTTCACTTGTAGCTTCGTTGGGAAGAGTCAGAGTGAAATGCTGTGTCCAGCTGCTCGATCGTGTCAGCAATCCAAACAGAACCGAGGTACACACACAAATACAAACAGCGATGGCCTCCACCCAGCTAGCGATGGCCTCCCTAATAGCGATGACCTCCACCCTACTGCTAGCAAGACAAATCGCTAAACAAAACAAATACATACAAATACCACTCGAATCGACACACCGCGGACCCTTGGCGGCTCTGACGTGCTCGTCTGGAAGAGGCCTCCCGTCCCTCAAACTGTCCCCGGTGAGTCCTGCTGACCGTCTCCTCGGGTTGCTCCGTCTCTGTTTCTGCACCTGTTTCGGTTGCTCCAGTGCCACCGGAGGAAACAAGAACCGTGTTGGGCGCATTGTGCTGTGGCCCTTGATAAAGGAGCACTAAATGACAAGTAAAGGTACAGTGCCACCTGTAAAGACGGTGAAGATGTATCTTTTTGGAGTTGGGGCCAAGCAAATCTAGCAGAATCATGGAACCGAATTCATGCCTCGCATCAAAAAAGACTACTGTAACTACATCTCATCTGGTTAAAACATTGTCCAGACCGAAGTGGCCAAGTCAATTTCAAAACATGATGTTTCTCCTCAGAAAAAGTAGTTTGATGCCTGCTGATGGTGCAAAAAATAACATTTTTCAGGACTTCACTGTACCCGTAGCTCGAGAACCCGGACCTGGTTGACTTCTACACCCAAACTGAGGACATGTCCATTCACTCGGCGAATGGCATAATGGCATCAATGCGGAACGTTATTTAAAATATGACGACAGTGGTTTGTGGCGGAAAAATGATGAACATCGTCTCCAACAGGTTCTTTCTCAAGTTCCATGAATGTTGGTGGAACAATTCCCTTAGGGGCTGCAAAGGTAAGCTCCGCCAAGTTTAACCCTCCCAATGAGGTCAGCAATTCAATTTTGCGAAGGAATCTGGATCTGTTCTCATCACAAATGAACAACACTCTCTAGCAAAGGGCGTCCCTGAAGAATCTATTTTAATTCTGGAGAAGAAACCACCATGTCGTTCTTCATCTGCTGCGAAACAGGAGGATATCTTTGCCCACTTTCCTGAAACCTATTCTTCAAAAAAGATCTAGGATGGAAAGGGTGAACGCTGAATGCATCGTGGCCTTCAAACTATAGTTTCCTGATTCATACTTGCTCACTCCTGTTATGCGTCACAACTCACGACCACAAAAACTGGCTAGCGGTGTGCCCCCACTCGATGAATGCGCCTGAACAAACTCAGAAATCAAAACAACCAGCAAACAATAATGCATCATTTGTCTAGCCATCAAATGCCATCGATACGATACCTCATGCCTGTGTCTTGGTCTACTCTCCCTGATCCATTGGACATTCATATCAAAGGAATTCCGTCCCAACAAGCTACAGCCCTTCGACAATGCTGTCTTATCTGGTCCATTGCAAATGCAATTGTCCAAACTAGAGCAGCACCAAGGACCTTTTGTTCCCTTCCACTCCATGTTTCACCCATCTACGACAAACAACAATCTATCCATCAGTCATTACCAATCCATTATGTCATCGCCTTCAGTGAGGTCATCCTCCTCCTTCAGCAAAGCTTCTGCCAGTACTTGGAAGAAATTCAAGGAGTTCTTCAAAGCCTTCGAACACCCAGATCACTCGGGTTAGAGAGGAATGCAAATGCAGCAGCCAACCTACAAGGACCCAGGTGATTCACATGATCACCATGATCCATCCAGTTCCATGGCGCATCCAACTTTGTTGAAATGTTATTTGTCAGCCAAGTATGTTTGGTGGGGAAAAACAATCATTGTCATGTCTAAGCCTGTTCAAGCACACAAAGGCCATTTCTGAGCCTAGTGACCGACTGCCGGTCAGGACTAGGTGTCTGCATGACAGGGTCAGTTCGATGGGTTCAGTTCCGGTGGTTCATTGGCATCCGACAGCCACTCCACCAAGGCCAGCCGGCAACGTTTGCCGTCCCAGTGCTGCAGCCGAAGAGCTGATATGGAAGTGTCCCAAGCGCTGAGCAAAGCAAAGGTCGCCAAATCCTCAGTGAACCAGTAGGACAAATTAATAAAAACACGCAGTGTCCACGATGAATATCGGTGAATTTGTTTACGAACTTTGAAGTACTTCGCGAACTCGGCTTTTGAAACACTTCCTCGTGTCACATGTGTGTATTACAGGAAAGCACCGGGAATGCCAGGCTGCAGCGGACTGAATCCAAATTGCTTTGCTTCGAGTGATCCCACCATGGCATATATTACATTTTGGCGATCTCAAATCTGGCACAAGTCTTTCAGGCAATCGAATTATTTGGCATCTCTTCTGGCCTTCTGGCGTTCCTTCTAGAATTGTAGTTATCTGGTTCAGGTCTGGTGGTGCCCAGTGCGATCTAGCGCTCGTGGTTGAGGCCCGCTGGTGCCAGCTAGGATCCAGACTCGCGGTTCCGCCCACTCAGGTGAAGTCGTAGTTCATGAAGTCTCTACTCTAGCATTGATTGCATTCGATCTGCCTTTCTTCTTTTGAAACCATGCCATAAACAACCTGAGCTGCGCTCTTTGTCAAGCAAAGCTGTGCGTCGGAGGATACCTGCCCTGGGTTGGCACCTTGGAGACGCAAGTTCTCCGACATGCTCAGCAGCTCCAAGGCGGCGTGCAGGCCAAGGCCGAGTTGGCGGTCTCGCCATTCTGGACCGCGTCCAACAGGGACTTGGCGTCCACCACCATCGCCGGCTTCGGGCGTAAAAGGTGGAGCTCGAGCGTTCACCTCCACATTCAGCATCTCAGCACATTGGAAGCGGCACTCAGCATCTGTTCCTGCTCTCCACAAGTCAGGTCGGTTGCGTACAGCGGCATCTGTCCAAGTCACACAATCCTTCGGGCGAGTGGCATTCAGTTGCTTGGCATGGGAAGAGATATGCCGCTGTGAGTGGACCTCTCCGCACAACTTGTTCACATGGGATTGGAGTGAGGGGGCGCACTTTGCAGCCATGACAAACTTAGCCGCGTGCTGCGGCGTGGTTTGCAGAACGCGCCATTGCACCGATCCAAGGACAGCACAGCATTACGATCTAGCGCTTGCGGTTGAGGTCCGGTGGTGCCCACTATGATCTAGCGCTCGCAGTTGAGGTCCGATGGTGCCCACTGCGCTCTAACGCTCGCGGTTGATGTCATGGACAGCCCTGACTCTCTGACAAAATCAAAAAACGCTCACCTGGCCTGGGAAAAAACAATAATTCAATTCAATAATAGGGAGGACATTCACTTCATAGGCCAAGCACTAGGCCAAGCGGCACGATGGCCCTGTACATTGAACATCCGACAGCAAAACCACAGTTAACCCCCCCTTCATCTGGTAATGCGTCCCCCAGTCACGTGAACTGCGGTCAAAATATTTGCTTGTGCCACAGGGGGGAAACTCGTGCGATGGAGTCTTTTGGGGATGACCACAAGCGCCGGGCAAGAAACAACCGCAACATCTATATAACGGTTCGAACAAATAAGTTAACCTTTTGCCACCCGTTGAATTGTGGGGAGACCAACTCCAAGAAAGTTGGAAGGTTGTCCATTGACCGGGCAGGCAAGATTTCGGCCTTGTCGCCTTGCCTTTACAAAAACACCACTGCTTGCGGCGAGGATCAACGGCGTTCTTGTGCTTGTTCGTCATCCTGCGGGCACTCACGAAGGAGCTTGTTGAGTTGTGCCACACAAGAGTTTTCCAAGGGGTTCCAATTAAGCAAAAGGTGTTCTGTTGCTCATTTTCGGGCGCACTGACCACGAACATGTTGCAATGCGTGCATATATATCTATATATATATACTATATCTACATACACAAATGAACTAAACAAAACACACAAAATATGTAAGTACGAAGCGGGAAACAAGCTAGCATTCCAAAAGCGTTTGCCTGTGGTGGGCTTCTTGCCAGAGGGGTCGGGTGCCCTTTTGGTTTCTTGGTCCCCATGAGGCCAAGGCAATTCAACATCTTGCATTTAATTTCAATCTGAGGGGTGTAGAAACAAAAGTGACATCACGTCTTGCAAACACAATGCGAGAATTGAGACCCCATCGACACAAAACCCAACCAGACTCTTCTTACAGCTGTTGAACTGTAGGTTGATCCAAAAAACACCTGACCCCCTGAAGGGGACAAACCAGAAAAGAAACACTTGGAAGTCTTGGACATGGAACAAATCATTTTCATGCATTTACCTAGGTCGCACACAGTGAAGATCAGCGGTAGATTCCTAAACTGTAGGTCAGAGGGTCATAGCACGAAAAAATACTATTCATCCGTAGCTACTAGGTGGAGGCCGTCGCCATTGGGTTGAAGGCCATTACTACTAGTAGCAAGGACGCTATTAGCTTGGAGGCCACATCTGAAGCTGTTCTGCTCTGCTCCTGTCGGGACATCCGCTGCTGGGGAAGTCTGGGAGCCTCAAGCGCTTTCGACCACCACAGTCACCATCCAAGCTGGACCCGTAGAAAAACAAACCAAAAAACAGTTAACAAAAACGTTTTATGTATTTTCTCCCTCTTTTCATACAGGTCCAGGTCCTCCTAGTTAGCCTGGCCAGGTTTCAAGTTCCGTTCCTTGAGCTGTGTTGACCTGAATTCACGGCAGCAACCAGCAGCTTTTACTCATCAAAACTCACAGTAGCAAAGCGAGATGCATCTTGATGATGTCGCGGGCATAAGTGTCAAATTGCCGGTCTTTGATCAAAGGAAGCACCTGAGTGTGGCAATGAGGATGAATACATGCCACGCACTTGTTGAGATGACAACAGTCCTACTCTATATATATATATATGTATATACATACAGCTATATAAAGATAGATGAATATTGTGTGAGTAACTCGAATGCAAGTTGACTCAACAGCTCCTGGGTGGAATCACCAATTCCTTGGAGCCACCTGTTTTTTCCCCACCTGTCAGGTGAGGGTTGCCGAGCCTCAACTGCCAGCTCCCGACGGCAGTGTTTCCCCGCCGGAGCTCAGCCGCCAGCTCCCGACAGCAGAGTTCTCCGCCGGACCTCAACTGCCAGCTCCCGACGGCAGTGTTCCCCGCCGGCTCCCGACGGCAGAGTTCTCCGCCGGACCTCGACTGCCAGCTCCAGACGGCAGTGTTCCCCGCCTGACCTCAACCGCGAGTTAGGTGATATGCCAGAAAGAATGTCAGAAGATATGCCGGATAGAATGTCAGAAAGAGTGTGCGAAGATATGCCCGAAAGAATGCCAGAAAGAACGTCAGAAGAACTGTCAGAAGATATGCCAGAAAGAATGTCAGAAAGACCTCAACCGCCAGCTCCGGACGGCAGTGTTCCCTGCATGGGCCTCAACTGCGAGTTCCGGATGGCAGTGTTCCCCGCCGGACCTCAACCGCGAGTCAGATGATATGCCAGAAAGAATGTCAGAAGATATGCCAGATAGAATGTCAGAAGATATGCCAGAAATATTGTCAGAAGATGTTCCAGAATGAATACGGAAATAATGTTTCAATACATGCCAAACAAATATCAGATTGAAATGTCATGGCTGGGGATCACTCGAAGTGAAGTTTCTTTTCGACAGTGTTGATAACTTTGGAATTTGGGTATGCATATGTACATATATGTACATATTATATATATATACTAATATATATATATATATTGAATATATCATTTATATAATTTTATATACAATAGACTATAGACACAAACAAAACTAACTAACAAGGAGCTGCAAAAGGCTATAAAACCTGTAAAGGTTGCAGTTGCAGGGGTCTTTGCTGCTGGGGATCGACACTGAAACCATCCATGTGTGCATCCATAGCTTGACATTGTGCTATCATTGCTGTACATACAATTTATGTACATTCTGGGCAGCAGCACGTATTGTATAGAATATAATATATTATAGAATCACAAACTGTCATTGCGGAGAGAGCCAAGAGTGCTTCTGCTGCTGGCCATTTTCAAAAAACAAACACTACCATACAAGCACCTGCAAGGCAGCTTGCGGTCAAAACAAACAAACCGTCAGTTTTGCATGTTGAGGAATCTAGTCTAGTTTGTACTAGTCATTGAGTAGTGGTTTAACCCAATATGTGGTTCAAAGCACATGTCTTAACACAGGAGTACACGGAAATGCAAAACAAAAACACAGTAATGTCGAGCTATTTGTAGGAATAGCTTCAGCAATCTTCACCAACCTGTGTTGGGGGCCGCTCTTCAGACTGTTGTCTGCGTTCTTCAGACTGCCCTTGGCTATCGCCAATGTACATCCAAGGCACAGAGTCTGGAATCTGAGAATACAAGTCCTTCAAGTTGAGCATCAAGGTCTGGTGGCCTCTCTTCGTTAGAAAACACGCGATGAACTGTGGTCGAGATGTGCAGATTGGTCGATTGGTGGCCTAAAGAGCGGGTCAAACAGGACTGAAAGCAACTGGAAACTCAATCAATTGAATGATGTGTGTTTCCATTGTCTCATATTGGTCCTCTTCAGGCAACATACCCCCAAAAAAATGAAACAGGTAGACCATTGTATTGTGGCGGTGTGAAGCAACTGACAAAGCAATCCTTGAACTATAATGTGCCAACATATATTGGGCTCCAGTCGTGTGATAAGTCTTGATGTAAGATGTGGAAACACATGGACAATTGATTGGCTTGTCTTAAGACGAGGTCCCACACACCTATAGAGTAAGTAGACTGAGTAGAGTAGGAGCCAACCGACCGACAAGCTTCTAATCAACCAACTACCCCTTCAGCTGTTGAGAAACTGATTGTGCCGAATTCAAAATTAATTCAACATCGGTGACCAAGCTTAGAAAGGCCTTCTTTGAGCTCCTACCTTTGACCAAACACCTAGGGACCTAGTACATCAATCTTGCAGGCATCCGAAGATCCAAGTCCGATGATCGGATCACAACTTGAGAAAAGAGTTCTCAGAGTTCGGATCTACGCTGAAACACTCGTTCGGATCTACTCGGTAGATCTACGCGTTCGGACATGGTGAAATGGTGATGTCCACCTTGGCGGTTCGGTGAGCAAACACCGACGTACCGAAGCGACGGTTTTTGCTCCCAGAATCCCTGCTGTATCGAAGCGAGTGTTTGTGCCACCCAAATGGAGTCACACATGCACCCCCCGTACCAAATGAACTCATAGAGCTTAAGCAACACACTTGTTGCATTTCCAACCAGCCGCAATGGCACGCTGTTTGATTCCACGTTCTAGCGGCTAAGCCTGACCTGCAGAACATGGGTACAGTAGAAGCTGGTCACATCAGGTTGGCTCACCGCGAAGCTGTGCAAAACATCGCAGATTTGGCTGGAAGGAAACTAAGTCATGTTTTGGTGTCGGCGGTATCTCCAAACATCTCCAAGCCATTCCTCACATGCCCAGCAAAGACCCTACCCGCGCGAAACCGCAGGATCAGTTGGGATTTTCGTCCGTGCTGTTCACTTTCAGGCTCAATCAGGCTCATCGGGGTATCGGCGCATCCCCCCATGACCTTCCCCGAAAGTCACCGATTGCAGCCACCTTCGTCTTGACTTGGCAGCTTCATCGATTGGATCTGCCACTCCTGTCTCGCTCGAGAAGGTCCCGGTGGATCCCCAGGATCAAAACCGGCAATAGACAGTCCCAAACAAGTTTGCACACGAGGCAAAACCTATACAGTAATTGCATTTGGATGATCAAACCATTCAGAACCATTCAATTCAGTTGTATCTGTTTGTACTATGTTGTACTTCTGTACTCTGATCATCTTGTCTGATCTATCCTTCAAATGTGCTTGCTTTGCTTGAATGTTGCTCGGACATGTTTTTGATTTTTTGTATTATCCGAATTATCCGTTTTTGAGTTGCATGGCATTCTTTGATGTGTCTTTACTGTTCATTTACAATTTGGTCTTCTCTGTTTGCGGAAACAAGGGCAGTCTCAAGACAGCGAAACATAGCATTCAATTTCATTTCTTCTCTACCAACAATAAGGCAATATAGTTGAATCCTTGTACTTGGACATGAACCTGTCTTGTAGTCTTGCCCTTCCTTCGTGAGCAGGACAAATTCATGATATGGCTGGCACTATTATATTGATAATGGGCTATATCTATAGCTATATCATTTAATTGCAACATATTGCAACTATATACAGTAATTAGATGTAACTTGCAACATCTTGTACATCCGTTCAGCACCTTCAACTTCACCGTGAGGGTCTCCTCTCATGACCAAACCGACAACTCTCAACCTTCACCACACCCACCAACACCTCCAAACATTATACACACGCCGAGATCTCGCCCACGAGATCTCCGCCCCCCGCGATCCATTCGACGTCTCGGTGGGTCTCCCCACCTGTTCGACCAACTCGCACCACATGTGGGGCCACATTACGGAGCTCAGTTGCGAGACATCGGTGGTGGCCCAGCCATCCTGCGACGGGCTTCGGGTGGGCGGAACAGCTGAGCGGAACAACCATCGGTGGGCTTTCAAGCAATACCCACTAAGGGGTCCATTGCGTCGTCTGCACATGTTCTAAGTTCCCAAACCAACGAATGCCGTGGACGCTTGGCAACTTGAGACCCATCTGCGATGGCGCTGGTACAGATCAAGCTTCTTAAGCAAGCAACCAATGCTGGATCGGTTCTCTAGTATCATATGGGGGGGCATGACAACAGGAATCATGAAGAACTTTGTTTGGAGTCTAGGGATAGAATGGGGGAAGTGGACTAAGTGGCTGTGGCTTGGGCAGGCTAGGTCCTTGCAGGGGCTCCAAAAAACATCAAGTCGAAAAATTATGCCTCCACTGAAAAGAAAAACAGAACACCACACCTACGGAACAACAAATATCAACTCACAGACTGTGATGAGTATTCGGTCACTCAACTTCAAAGCGCATGTTCATTTCAACATCTGTTGCACGGCGCCATCAACTTTCTAAAGTCGGGCGACCCGGGCGCCGGGTGACGTAGCCCAACTCGAATGACCGGTCAGTCTCCTTGCCATGCACTGGGGGTGTGGGCTTGAAGAAGGCCGCACGCGTTTCACGCTTCGAAAGCCATGTGGGTTTGGAGACCCAATGCCATTCCATAATCCTGAGACAACTGGTGCCGATGGATGGCGCAACTTAGGTGGAGTAGGATGGTGGAGTAGGAGGGTGGGACAGGTTGTCACTTACTGACAGGGCCAGTAGTGTTTGTTGCACCGCAAAGAAAGCATGCAGTTGCCAGTTTACAGTAAGACAAATCTCAACAACTGGCAAATCCTTACCGGTGGGTCATTTGTCAGTGGGGCCATAAAAGTATAGGAAGGGGCCGTGTTTGTGCGCAACTGGGAATGCGAATGGTACAAGTAAGTACACAAACGGCAATGTCCCTGTTCATAGAGAAATTATCGTGCCTGAAACAAAGTCATGCTGGCCGCTGGCCATCTTCCAATAGTTTTTTTCTAGGCCATTTTCCATGCAATCAACTCGTTAACATGGGATCCACCGGCAGGGACACACGTCTTTCGGCCTATTAACAAAATAGTTATATTTGAAGTCATAAACCCAAACCAGTAACAAGAAGCTACTAGGAACAAGTGCATCGCTAGTAGTAACAGGTGCCTTACTAGTAGTAACAAGAAGCTATTAGAAACAATAAGCTACTAGAAACAAGGGCCACGCTAGTAGTAACAGGTGCCACGCTATTAGGAACAAGTGCCTTACTAGTAGTAACAAGAAGCTACTAGAAACAAGTGCATCGCTAGTATTAGAATGGTTTCATCTATCTCGTCTCGGGGAAAAGTCGCTCTCCGTCGTCCCGGTGGTGGGGCGGTCGGCATGGCCAGGCGACATGGCCCGGTCGTCGTCGGTCATCTCGCGACCACGTTGACTGACGGTGTCACCCGCGCGGTGGGTCAGCTTCAGCGTGCGCTTCTGGAGTGAGAGGACTGGGGGTCACACCGGGGGGCACTGGTTGGAGCACAGGAGAAACACAAGAGCCAGAAGAGACAAAGCATTGGCATAATCAGGGTCAAAGGAACAAGAGGCATGAGTGGTGACACTTGCTACGATTGCGCTGAACCTTAAACATATTTCTAGGAGCAGTGTTGGTTGTTCAACTTTGCATTGCTGGTGCCAGGAGAAGAAAACAAACTCTGCATTGATGTTTCAGATCCCTCTGCCACACTTCCTGTAGAAGCCTTGCACACTTCCAAGGAGTTTTCCACTGGACTACATTCCAAATCAATGACCCGATGAAGGAAAACCGGAAAACCTTGAAGAATGCAAATGATCCAAGTACAACATGCAAGCCATTCAGTATACATCAGCACTGTATGAACTGTTTAACTTATACATATTGAAACGAGGGACACACTCACGTGCTTGTCTCCTGTGATTCCTGTGTGCGTGAAATCAGAACAATTATATAGTGGAAGTGCTGAGACATACTTTCAGTTCCTTACAGTAATGGATGTCTAGAAATCATGTTCTCATCGTCAAGGATCCGAACACGTACGGCATTGGCGGTACGCTTCGACAAGCAACCACCATCAAACAACTCATTCATTCGTACTCATTCACTTGATCAGCTGTCCGGACTTCATGAGTTGCATCCTTTCGCCAGAGCCTATGAGTCATGTGTTGTGGTATTTCTGTATATCCTCCAACCTGCAAGCGATGGCCTCCAACCTGCAAGCTATGGCCTCCAATCTACCAGCGTGTGTTGCTGTATATCCTCCGAACCAACACCATTAATGAGCCAAGGATTGGCCGTAAGGACGCCTCCCCACTAGCTAACAGCTTCGGCCGTGTGATTCTGTAGCGCTCTTGGAATCTAAGGGACACCCTCAAGAACAGGCTGTTGATGGTTCAACAGCTAAACATGGTGTGGATAGCTGAATGGACCCCATAGCCCAATTTGGCCGTCTTTCCGTATAAGGTATATATGTAAAGGCTACCAGTAACTGAGGTTTGGACCCACACCCAAACACCATGATAGAGATGTCCATCAAGCTTATCCGTGAATTTGACGCAAAACGACACCCCAAGTCCTGACTGACACTGCTAATAGATCTTAATAGTCTTGAGTCTTGAATCTCAACAGAATCCTCCACATACGGCACCCGAATACATGCTCACCCTTCTGTATATGTGTGTGTCTTGAGAGATCTATATACTGGCAGCTGGGAGGCCTCCAAACTCAGTGTACTTTTAAAACATTGCCATACAAGCTCAGCGAGTGCCTCCGCACAGTAGCTGCAGGATGTGTGATGGTTCCTAATAGTATTTGATTCCTTGCTCACATGACCTCTGACTCTTCGACGAAATCGTTGCGTGTCGAAATCGCTTCAGCTTCGACTCGGCCCAGCCTCCCGAGTCGCGCGAGACGCTCCAAAATTCCGAAGGAACCTGAGATGAAGCGAAGCACCGTTTCCTGCAATACAACTAGTAGATACTAGTAGTATGCTGCATTATGTTGCATTGTTTGAGGCCATCTTGGAATAACAAGACATGGGGGGAATTTAAGGAATCACTGTCCAAGCTCCAGAGCCATCTCAGCTTGGCACTTGGAGGACTTCCAGTTCGAGGTGGGTCGCGTATCCTCCATCTCGAAGAGCAGCGAAAACCGTGCTGGCAAAGACCTCGGTGTTTGCCAGAACTTCAAAGGGTGGCAACAGCAGTTGATGTGTCTTAGGTCCAGTCATGCGGCAACCCAGGGATGGACCTGTGCATGAACATGGATGCTATCCTGAACCTTAATCTTTCAATGGCACCTTGTTCGCTATATGCGGGGCTGGACACTACCACAAACCTTCAGGAATCTAACATACACTACTCTCTAGTGTAATTCTCCTACACTGGCCCACATGCATGTAATTTGAATCCAGTTGCAAAAGGGCATTGACATGCATTGACTCATTGGAATGACTGATTGCCGCTGCGCAAACCTCTCCCTGCACGAGGACAATGTATTCAAGCGTATTTTGCTCAGGATCATGTCGCGTCAACCGTAATCAATCCGGTATGTTAAATGTCTAACATCCACCAGTCCTACAAGTCTCCCATGAAGTGCATTGCATGGCTGAGTCTAGAACAAGAACAGACTGACTTTAAGCGTTTTAAGAGACTTTTAAACACATTAACAGATTTTGCAACCAAGCTTACACATGAGCAACATGTTGGTTCAAGGCCCCCCCACGAAACGATTCCTAATAACACTCCTAGGCCTTAGAGTATCAAATAGCATCAATATGTAATATACATCAAACGGCTGTGACTGTGAAGCTGGTTGATAAGGCATGGACGAGCACGTGATATGGCTGTATTCTCCTTCTTGCAGAGTTAATGGTACACGAACACGGGTCCCCCCCCGCCGGGCTAAGCCCCTGGCTCACAGGTTTGGTCCCAATCCGGGTGATTGGCAAAATAGAGATTGAAGAGCGCCTGCCGCTACGGCTGGAGATCCAGACGGCTAGAGATCCAGTCTGATTGCCGCAACACCACTGCGAGACACAACGCGCTCCCCAAGATGGGTTTCTCTGATCTATGTCTATGATAATATTGAATTTTACTATTACCATTATATAAACAGAGAGACAGAGAGATGTCAATCTGTGTCAGGTTGTGACATCGTTTCTGACCAGCACTGTCGCACTGTGGCATCGCCCACTAGTTGGATATCCACAAACAGTGAGCAGCTGATAGCTTCTGCTCAAAACCTCATGTAATAAAAGGACCATCATCTAGGGCCTAGGCCCCCCCAAAGGCTTCGTTGTCGAGCTTCCCTCAACTCTGGAGCTTGAAGCTTGATTGGGGTTTCCACTCATGAAAGAAGTGGGGGGGGCGGCGACCTCCGGTGATATACATATGAAAGCACTACATGGTTCAGAGAGCAACAGTTCGACGTGTTTGACGAACTTCGTATCGCAAGTGAAAGGATCCGACTGTTGACGCACGCTCTTGAGTTTCTGCCCAGGCCCGATTGGACACCGGGCTCCCCTAGTTTCTCACCTCTTTGGAATTGGTCGAATGAAATCCATCCACAGGACAACCAAGTGGAACCCCAAAATACTCCCTTTCCATCATCTATGGAGGATCCCTCATATATTACCTGTCTTGACATGTCCGCCTGCACGTCGCTCAAAATTCGGAGAAAGAGATTGGCCACTGAAAGGCCTCGCGAGATTGGCTGAGGTCAATTTCTCTGGACTTCGGTCGGCTTGCAAACATTTCAGAAGACGGCCAAGCAAAAGCTGTTCACCGCGCTCCCAGGGTCATTAGTCAACACCGGTCACACACTCAAGTCTTCAAACAGCTTCAAACCACTTTCCAGTCACCAGTCGTCAACAGGCGAAGGTCATCGTTGTCTGAGTGAAGGTGTGGAGAGCAAATAGCTTGTAAACACGGCCACAACTCAACAATCCATCAAAACCCTGGCTATTAAGGAACAACAACACAAGATCCGCAGAAGGACAATTGAAAAAAAAAGATTGCCTTCAGCAAAACTAGGCCAAATGCATCGTGGTCTTATTGAGTCTTGAATACCCACCAAAGGCCAATGACTTTATGGATCTCTATGGACATGTCTCACTGCTATCACTTCTCCACCTTGGAAAGTCACTGCTCCACGCGGTGGATCGCGGGTGGACACACCGTTGGTCGTCTCGCCACTTCACGTTGCTCGTCGCGCCTGCGTTGTACAGAAACGTGGGATCATCGCCTCGGTGCGACGCACGCGGACCGGTGTGGACCAGTGAAAAAGGGCATTGGTACTAGGAGCAAGAAGCTACTAGTAGCTCCTGGCCTTACTACTAGGAGCAAGGACGCTACTAGGGGCTCCTGGCATCACTACTAGGAACAAGAAGCTACTAGTAACAAAGGGCATCGCTACTAGGATCCTTCTGCAATCAAACGCCGGTCTCGGTCCATCGCACCCGGTGGACAAAAGCAAGAGAACAGTCGCTTGTACATGTACCTAAGTACATGTCGCTTATGGGTGTTGCAGGATCCATCGAAAACACATACTGTCTGTACAATCGGGAGTGGAGGTCTCAATGCCACTAACTCACTATGGATGATCAAACAGAAAGATGAGCAAAGCAGTTTAAGAAGTCTCTGATGTCCGGTATATATATATATATATATGAATTGGAGGGCAGTCATCATACATACGAGGAAACATATGAACACATAAACCTGAACCAAATGATTTAGTCGCTAGCACTCCCCACTGTTGAAATGTCATGTCAACTTGACTCCGAGGCGGGTAGTCCTGTGCCTAAGAATTCCAGACATTAAACATTAAACACATGCGAGTCTGTAGATCAATCCAACCAAGACACGCATCTTGGACTCTTTCAAGGCTTTGGGGAAGTTGTAGACCTTGGTTGCGAACGGATGCTTCTCACATCGAGATGCCGGTTGCTTCGGCAGGGCGTTTTTCGCCTCGACCGAACCAGAACTGGAGGAGTCGAGGGAGTGCGTCTCTGGCGAACGAACCGTATGATTGAAAAAGGTCCATCTTCTCACGGGTTTCAAAAGGGCCATTCTCAGCCTGACAGCGCGTATTACATGCATACTGTACCGTGTACCCTGCGTGGCAGAAAGATGCATGCATAATAAGCCTTGACCCTCATCCATGTGTGCAGTAAACATGCATGACGTACGAGGAACAAACAAGAACCGCCTTCCATTCAGCATCTTCAAATGCCACTGCCATATGTTCTCTTGCAATGTATGTCTACCATGTTGGGCCACAGGAATGACTGGACTTGGATCTCACACAACACCTGCTTCACTGGTTTTTTGGGTATTGACATGCAACCTTTCCGACCTTTCCGAAAACAAACGGTGGAAACACCGCTTCTGACTGAGCTCAGAAACCGCATCATCCGTGGAGAGATCTCCCTTGTAGACCTTTACCTTGTCCTGCTGTCCTGAAGGACTGTGGTGCTGTCCAGTGTGGCTGGGTTGGGCATGCAAACCGCCAGCCACAATCAGCAGAAGTATGCTAGGCTGCTAGGTGTTGAGGAGGTGTTCAGGACCATGCAAAGACCGACCTGACCCTTTATGCATGCAAAGGTCGGTCCAACTATCGTGCCAACGATTGTGTCACTGTCCGACTGGGAACTTCCCCCAGCCATTCACATCTTGAGTACTTCTGGCCAATTGCGGTTCACCCCAACCAACACAGAGAGAGCCAGAGAGAGCCTCTCATTTTTCTATGTTGAAAACCTTTCAATCATTAATTAGCTGTAGGGTTGTCTCGGTGAGTTTAGGAAACCACCCACAAAATGACACCCGAAGCTTTGATGCAATTGCCTTTTGCGCTACAAACCGCGCAGTCCTGACTTGATATGCCGATGAAGATGGCGACCGTCAGTGGTTTTGTATGGCAGCCTTGGAACACATTTTATGTGAACATCGCAAGATATGATATGCTGAAGTTGAAGCAAGGACAATCCAAATGTACCATCAAGGCCGTATGCTATCCACCTCATTATCAGTATTTTGTTGCAACACATATGCCGACATGTACCTTATGCCGACATCCACAGTAAGACACCTTGCCCCAAGAAGCGGATTTTGAATCGTTCGAGGTTCGTGAGAAAACACAGGTATGTTACTCTTTAGCCGAGGGAGGGGGGAAAGGGTAGGCTGTAGGTAGCAGCTACTAAGTACCTACTAAGCTACTCCCTAGATCTCCCTAGTAGTTTCTTAGATCTTCTTAGGCACCAGGACGCAAAGGGGCTCAGGCAAGGACACCTTAATGATGTGGTTCCTAGACTTTCAGGGAAACTTGATTTCAACATCTTGCAGTACATGGGATGAGGAAAGTCCATGCTACCTCCCTCGTGAACCGAACGAAAGGATGCCTCACGGTTTCGACGCAGAACTCTGTGGGATGGCCAATTGCGTTGGCGTGTATTCAATTGGCAGGACCCCAACCACTTTTTGTGTCGTTGGTGTTGTTGTTGATGTTTTCCAGGGGTTCAGCTGTAGGCCTCCCCTTTCTACAACGCATCCAATATCTCCAAAGAAACTGAGCCTTTGTCCCTACAGTTGCGTGCCCTTTCCATCCCTTGACATGGATAGGCATATGTCATACATGTTGCTAGGTGGCACTGACACCATTAGGTTGTGAGACAACCAACTTTCCAACCTGCCCAGTGCATTGTTACTGATCCACAAGTCCGGTGCAATGGATCAGCTTGCCACCTTTGACTGCTTGCTGCAGGCCATCTTTGGTTGCGTGGATTTTGAGGTGAGTAGCTGAGTAACTCATCGAGGATGCGGTTGGATAATGCTTGGATCTTAACGCCAATTGTTTAAATCAGTCACTACCACGGCCTGTGGCCTGCTTCGGCTGCACGTACTGATCATAATAGCAAAACAGGTTGAACTTAGAATTGTCTGTTCCTTGGCAGACAGGACTCCAGTTCCTCAACCTAGGCTACGGTGCAGTATCAGCCCACATGGCGGAGTTCAAAGCAAAGCATGAAACGGCCAAGTGACATCGACATCTTCCAGCTGCTGTCATTTTTGGGCAACAAGCGTTGAATCGCCTGGCACCACTCCAACAGTGGCAGCCAACAGAACCGAACCAACTAACCAGGGACCTTGTGAGTCTCTTCTTGTAAGGTAGATACGCCGCGTCTTGATTGTTACGACCATTCATTGGCTACTCAACGTATTTTGCCACTACAGTATACAGTAAGTCTTTACAATTCTTCCGGTGGGGGTCTCTTTTGTTTGCACCGATATTTCAATAAAGGTTTTAATAAAGAGACAACAATATGGAATCCACTGACCCCGGTCTAGGCCGATGAACGTGAGCGTGAGCGGGGCGGGGCCGGCGTGTTTCGGCGTGTTTCTGTTGAGGGGCTCCGGATGACTCCGGTGAGCGGTGGGCGTTGTTGCTCAGCCGTCCCTATGACAAGCACTTGCCAAAAAAGAACTGCCGCTTGAATGGCATTTGTCTAATATTTTCTCTTCTGGGACCGTCAAGACTTTTAGCTCGGGAAGAGCGTGCCCCAAGCTTTGGTCCCGGGTTCGACTCCCCCCCGCGCGTCCCGGACCCAGTCTGGCGCCCTTTGGAATGAGGCGGCGCGGAATTAAAGCCACTTGCCCAAAAACTACCGCTTCACTGACATTTGTCTGAATTATTCTCTTGCCGTCAAGAATTTTTGCTCGGGAAAAGCGTTGCCCCATTTTACCCCCCGCGCGTCCCGGACCCAGTCTGGCGCCCTTTGGATTGAGGCGGCGGAATTGAAGCCAGGAACACCGCATGGTAACCAGGCGACGATAAGGACCCCTATAGCGAGCGCGCCCATTTTTGTGGCCGGCGGGCATCAGGATTCTGGCACCGCCGGAGGAGCACGCACTCTCTCTCTCTCTCTCCCTCCTACCCGAAGTGGGGGGCAGGCCAGGCCTCAAGCCGCCAACCCCGTCACCTGGCCAATCTGAGCGCCTTCCAGCGCGCTATGGGTGACCCATGTGCACCGGACGTTGGGCAGACCTAGCTCTTGAACGAGATCATCACCAGGGACGAACAACTGTTTCCTTGGACATGATGTCTTGCGCACACCGGACTATCAGGCTGATGTTCCCCAGAAGTCCTGTGTCCGATGGACTCCGGCCGTGGCAGTCTTTGTGGCGGGGTTGGGAAGCCTCTTGTCGAACACATGAGCGAACGGATGGGCCTCTATACAGGAAGACAAGCATCCCTTTTGTAGGTGCGCTCACAACCTAGCATCTCCCAACAGGTTTCGGGGTGTCGAGGTCAGTCTTAGATGCGGTCAAGCTCCAGCCTTTCTTCAATGACTCCTTGGGTCCAGACATCTTGAAGTCATCTACGTACACGATGAGCAAAAGTCGGAGTTCAGCATGGAAAAACACTGAGGGACAACCTTCAGAATCAGGCATAGTAAACCCAACAGCAACTAACATTTCCGCGCAACGCTGCTCCCAAAGCCCCCCAGAATCTGGGTGTCCATAAAGATCGATGCGAAGTCTGCAAGCAGGTTTTTTTACATATATTTACCTGTCCAGGACTTTGGCCAAGTTCGACCCATGTATCTATTCCTTTCATGAGGGCTTGAGTATACGCTTGTTTGCCGTCGGCTTGCTCGGTGTCGAAACCTGGTTGGGCACCGTATGCATCGACTGTCTTTCCCGCTTCCATTGTTGCTGGGGAAGAACCGAGCTCGCTGAACAAGGCCACTTCACTGTTTTCATCTCGGACGTCGTTCCCTTGGAACACTGTTCGTCCTTTGAACTTGCGAAGTGGGTGCCCGGATGGGAACTCGCTACCCTTCTCGACACAAATCTCGAAGATCTTGCCGATATGGACTTTGCGACCCTGTTTCTTGGCCTTCGCGGCAACCTCGCGCCACTCTTGGACAGTATCATAAAGCCATGCATCCTTCTTCTCTAGTTTAACCCATTCCACGTCTAGAGGTGCCTGAGCTTTGGGATTGGATCTGATCTCCTTTCGATTCACGGGTCTAGCAACAAGGGTGTTCACCCCGCTTTCTCTCCTTGGAGCATATAGCATGCTGGGAGGCCTCTGTCGCAAACCGCGGCAGGAATGTCCGTCGCAGAGCTAATGGACCCGGAGCCACTGGGGAAAGCGTAGACAGGAGCAAAGGAGCATTGTGTTTTCTCAAAATGATGTACGATGGATCAGCATATCGTTTCAAGATGGATATGTTGATGGATGTGAGGTAGTAGTTTTAAAAGGCCTCTGGTGCGGGATATGCTGCCCGAGTGGCCGTGCACTATTAGCCTTTTGTGTTTCTGCTTGCTCTTCTTCTCCTCCTCTTAGCAAGAGACAGTGAAAAAGGAAGAGGGAGAGAGAGAGAGATTCTTTTTGACATTCTACCTGGCGTATCTTCTGAGATTCTTTCGGACATTCATTCTGGCACATCTTCTGACTCGCGGTTGAGGTCCAGCGGGGAACACTGCCGTCCTACACTTGTGGTTGAGGTCCGGAAGGGAACACTGCCGTCCCACACTTGTGGTCGAGATCCGGCGGCGAACACTGCCATCCGACACTTGCAGTTGAGGAGGCGAGGAGGAGGACGAGGAAGGAGGATAAAATTTAACAACCCTCACCTGACAGGTGGGGGATAAGGAAGAGAAGAGAAAGATAAAGAGGAAGAGAAAGTGAAAGAGAGAGAGAGAGAGAGAGACAGAGAAAGGGCCATAGCAAGAGCAAGCGGACGAGGAAGAGAAAGACCAAGAGGAAGAGAAAGAGAAGGTAGGGAGGAAGAGCACAGGATCTGCTTTTAGCACATCGCACCGCTAAAGCTTGCCACCCCTTAGAGCCAACCACTGCTTGCCAGGGCGCGTCCTGCAAATGCAATGCCCCAGCTCTGCTTTGGGTCAAGTCAAGTCGGGGCAGCCGATTGCACCGGTTCTGCCAAACCATGCTTCAGTCTTTAAGCCGACAGGAAATCTATGTGAAAAGGAGAAAGGTTTTGAAACAAGAAAGAAAAGGTGAAATAAAAAAAAGAAAATACATAAAGAAAATAATAACAGCAGCAAGAAAAGAACAGGAATGAAAGAACGAAAGAACAAAATAAAGCAAGAAAGAAAGAAAGATCCTACCAGAAGTGGGGCCGCCGACGTGAGGACGCGCGGGCCGGCGCGGGGGAAGGCACCTGGAACCGCGCAGGCCACTGGGGAAAGCGTAGACAGGAGCATGTTGTTTTCTCGAAATGATGTACGATGGATCAACATATCGTCTCAAGATGGATTGTTCAAAGGCAGGTGGTGCAAGATATGCTGCCCGAGTAGCCGTGCACTATTAGCATTCTGCTTGCTCTCCTTCTCTTCCTCTTCCAGAGAAAGAGAGATAGGGTACAAGGCTTGCCTGCCCGGCCAGCTCTTAGGCGTAACCTTGAAAATAATCATTCTTGTTGCATGGTCCTTGATGGTGTTGTACGCACATCTCACTGTTAAGCAAAAAAGCGCTCAAAAACCTATTTCTACGAGCTGAAACAATTGTTGGATGTGAGTTGGGAGAAAGAAATGGTTCAATTGCCACTGGTTATAACTGTAACATGAGAGAGTTTCCTCGCATATTATCTCCCACATGCCAAGGAGGCCAAAGCAATGATGGTCGACTTCCCCAGTAGTTGGGTGTCAGAGTTTCAACCAAAGCCAAATGACCCATTGTAGGCGAGTGGCAGCAGTTCTTTCCACAATTATTGAAAGCTCTGAAGGCAACTAAGTCGATGTTGCAGGTCTTGTTGTTGCTCTTCGGATTGGAAGGAGCTTGGGAAGTCTCTGAGAGAAGGTGCACGAAATGAACCGAGTTCACACTCAGTCCTTGCAAAAGTTGCATCGTCCCGCGACGATCCTGTCTGGTGAAGTACAGTTTGTGGTCGTGGACTTGCAGTCGATGCAGCTACCGACAAACAAACATGTTGCAGCTTGTTTCTGGGCGAATCTCTCGGTCGAAGCGGAAGCGATGCAAGGTCTTGCACTGTGGTGATCTGTGATGCAAGCGGTGCGCTTGCTTTTGGGTTCCCTTTCACATTGTGCAATGTGGAGCACACTACAACAACCATAGCACAACCGTTGAAGGGTGATGGGCAAAACCAATTGGGTGGAGTTGTAGCCTTGAGCGCTCATTGTGGGTCAGCACCAATATGTTCGGCTGGAATCTGCAAATTCTAGATGGTTGCTATGTAGATCTATCTGAGCTTGAAACAACAGCAATATGCTAGTTACTTTCTTCCTCTTCTAAGCTTATCTCATAATCTTCTGGACTCCGTGTGCAAGCTTGGGGTTCGATCATGTTGAATCCTTGACCTGGTTGTAAAAAATTGTAAAATCACTCTTGACCTGGCTATCACAAACAGTGCCCCCGACAGGCCTATGACACAACATTGTCGACCCACGGCCTGCTTCCCATATGCTGGCAGCTTCGACACAAACTGGTCGTAGCCCGCAAAAAGAGCCTGCGCCTCCAGTTTTGAGGAATGTATCGGCAACAGTGGTGCTGGGAATACCATATGCTATACCACTCTCACGAAGCCCCACAAAACATCAGTAAAAAAGCACATCACCAACTGCACCGAAAAGCCTTTGCAATCTTGCTTGGTGAAGCAGGGAGCCTTCAAAAACTAGAACTTTCTAACAAACCATGCCTTTATAATTATCAGAAACGTGTTGGGCAATCCTGATACAGAATGGCAGTTGCGCAAACTCTCCAAGTTCCCTTCTCACTGCACGGAGGAAAAGCACCCTGCGGAGGATTGAATTTCTTGGTCTCAATAGGATTTCTCCCATAATGTTGATCGCAGCTAGAAATGAAAACAACAAATAATGACAACTTACGAATGGGATATGAAAGGATGTGAAACGTCATCTACCTGTTACAATCCCGAGCTTTAGATATGGCAACATCCCATGACTTCAGGGCGGTCCCACGAAAGGCTTGGACGTTTTGCTGACGAGCAGCCACTGGCACGACGTTTGGGCGCACGAAGTAAGCAGTTTGGCCGGGCACCTGCATGACAAGATATGACAAGTCAAAGGTTATATTTATGAGGGTGCTAGATAGGATATTGTTACAACTCTCATATATAATGCATTTGAGAAAAACATGAGAACTCGACTGTACCTCCACAAAGTGGGATTTGGGGCTGGGTTGAGGGGGCTGTGAATCAAGAGATACATAAAATCAAGTGTTTGCTTCTTATAGTGTTTTCTGAAATCATCCAATGTTGAAATTGAGCTTCAGCTTTGGTTGGATGTGTATGGCGAGTAAATGGTAGTCTGGTCTCGGATTACCAGGATTGTCCTGTAGGGGTGCATACATTCCAACACGGGAGACGCAATGGATGTACGGTACAAATATCCAAGTGTTCATGCACCACGTTCCATGTGATGTTGCCCCGCTCATCCCTACTCATATTGTTTCCATCTATATACACAATGTAGCCACAAACAAGGAATGAGCAACATGATTCATGAGCTGACATGCCCAGTGTCGCCTGCCACACCCAATGACTTTCCATTTTCATTGTGCAACCTGCGACGCTTCGCGTTCCACAATGTGCAGTTGACATCTCTCTCAAGCTTCTGGACTGGGAGATTCCAAAGCCAGGAAAACACCATCAAGAAGACTGTGAAGATTACTGGGAAAATGCTGCTTGGACTGAACTTCTTCCGCAAAAAAACACTTCTTCCGAATGAGTGGTTTGAACTGAACAACATCCTGTTTCGGTCCAGATTCGCCCGCGTGATCCACACGTCCAAGGCACTTTCGGACAACTCGGGCTGGATCCTCAGCGACCCGTCCGGTGATCCAACCGGTCCGCACTCCCCGCCATTCGTTGGAACACCGTCCGCATCCCACGGTCCGACATGAACAAAACACAAACTGAAGGAACACTCAACCAACAAAAATGCAAAGTCAAAGGACAAAGAGCACTCTAACTGTAAACTGCACAGTAGATGATCAAAGGAAGTGTAGCTCAGAAACGACATGCCATCAAAAGAACATTGACTTGAATCTATGCGGGCGGGCGTGAATGTCTGGTGGTGCAAAAGCTACGACTACCTCTGCAATGTGGAGTGTGCCTAAATGGACTCGGCGCTTGAGGATGTCACTGGACGTGGCCGGACAGTGGTCCTGTTGGGTGTGCTGGGCCCACAGGGGAATGCAACTAACAATTTCAAAACACATTGCAAGAATTGACAAGTATGATCACTGATGGCTGCGTAAGGTTACGGTGTTGGGCTGGTGATATTGGTCTCCCGAAATAAGGTTGACAAACAGGTTGACACTGTGCCTTGGAGGCCGTACTGACACTGGGCTTGAATTCCTGACACTAAAACGCAGTGTGATGGCCACTAAGAATATATTTACTGTATATAACTTACATTTATTGTTGTTTTCTTGACAAAGGTAGGGATAAAGATTTCTGGAGGAAAGTATGAACACGTCCAGATTTCTAGACAAAAGCATCGACACGTGAAATTTCCACTGGGAGACTTGTATAGACAATTAGATGACACCAAAGAACAGTGCATCAAGGACACATAGTTTTTTCTAACTTTGCCTGCATCGAGAACTATGTCAAATCAATCCAGCAAGAGCTGAGAGCTGTGCACGACGCTCTGCTTTGCTCTGTTCACACAGTATGACCCCCTTAAGAAGTCTGTCCCCACCACTCTCCCTTCACATCGGCTTGCTGATTTCCACTTTGGGCCGCCTCAATCAGGCTTGCCACTCATTCGAATCGCAGCAACCTATATATCCACAAAGCCCACAAACCTGAGGATCCTAATTTTTAAGTTTCCATCTTCCACTCTACCGAAGTCAAGGAATTTTGCCCAGTCTCGTGAAGTGTTCGATCCAGCGATTGCCGCTTCCCTTGAAGTCGTTGTTGAAGGCGAAGAAGCGTACTGGGGGTCTTCCAGGCTGGAGGGTATCCGGCGGGTGGAGAGATTGGGATCCATATGTTTTGGCCTTGGCGGCCTTGGGCCTAAAAATTGATAAACACAAGGTGCAGGGGTTTCCCAAGAACCAGCACTTGTCATGTAGAGGGTCAAACAAAGTGCTGCTTGTTGGCGCATGTTCTTGTCTAAGAAAACATTGACCACGAATTGGGGATGGACCGGTGTCCGGAAAAAACTTTGAAAGGATTGGAGATATGCGACATCAGTATGTGCACGGTTGAACTGTTCCCACAGCAACAAATAAGGGTAGCTGGGTTAGCTGTTTAGGAGATTACTGTTTTGGTGACTCTCAATGGCAAGAATGCCAACTCCACTTGTTTCGAACATCTGAAAGGTGGGTTCCATGAAGATGATTTGTGGCCCATCTTCAACCAACCATTTGCGCTTTGCACATATGTGATGTGTGCAGTTTCTTCAAGCCTGTTTCAGGTATAGGCAACTAGCCAACAAAACACTGCGGCTCACAACGCTCAAGACTTTTGAGCTTTCCTGTGAAGGTTAAAGACTGCTTCTACCTGCCTTCATTACGGAAGGTATTGTATCTCGGGTGCCAAGATTCGTTCGCTCAATTGCCACCTGCCCTTTATCTCCTCCGACAGCTGTAGAGACAGTTCACATGATTCGCATGACAAAATTCACAGTTGGCTGCTATTTCCGGCGAAAGCATATCAAGAGGAGGTGTGGGGTTGAGAGTTGATTGGGCATTCAACTGTCAAGAACTTTGACAAGTGTATGTACAAGCAGGATAAACAGTGTGTCAAAACAAATATCTTGCGTCCCAAGAGCGGGCAAAACAAATCATGGTAGAATTGTGCCGAGTACTGCAGCAGCAAAGCAGGTGCTAGGAAGACTGATGTCCGACTTCCATCATGGTGTAAATGAAAGCAACATGGAGTTTGTGTGTGCGGACACGGGGTCAGCAAAATCGCTTATTATACAAAGATACAAAGTTAGTACATCCAAAAGTATCCAATATCCCAAATAGCTTCCGCAAAGTTCTGCGAAGATTTCTTGCTAGGGTTAGTGCCACCATTCCATGAATGGCCCAGGGTATGATAAACTGGCCCAGTTAGCAGTTAGTAGAGTAGATTGTTTTGCAACACCCTTTCTGCGCACTCGCATGCACCACCCAAATGAGAGCATTGGCTGCGCTGAGATGTCTAGCCAAGGCATGAGGTGCAGGATGCTTTAAAATGGAGGAAGTCAATGTGCGTATAGAGGACCCATGGACCATGGAGATCTTGCTCCGGCTTGCGATGTCCCCAACTGTTGCAGGGATCCGTGTGGGGGTTCTTCGATCCTAAGATTCATCATCTGAGTCCCATATGGGACATCACTTCACTCCTCCATAATGTCTCACGTGCAATGGGATCAACTCAATCGACCACTGCCTCGGGACCCAACTCCTTGTGCTTGTACACGAGCTTCACTTGCACCCCATCATCAGCATTGCTTGATCCTGCTCGTGATGAGCATGTTTGATGATGCTGACGCTTGCCACTTTAGAATTTGTGGTGCATTGAGAACCCGTGTTCCACATTTGACATGACAACATTACTATGCAAATTCGGTGTAGGTCCAGTTTCGATTTCTGGCCGTACCTGGGTCTATTGGTCCCATATGATGAAGCAGGCGCTCCCTATCCGGAGGTTCCTAACTCTTGATGTGCTTCGTCCTCCAACCTTAAGTTTCCCTAAAACTGTAGAAACCAAATCATTAGTGCGTGAGCTATCCTGCGTCCATACTAGTAGCTACTTAAGCTACTAGCTACCTCTCCCTTCTAGCTACCTCTCCCTTCTAGCTACTTCCTACCTCTTCTAGCGGCCAACCCCCCCTCCCCCCCAAATATATAATATGATTCGTTACTGGTTTATGTAGCCTGCATGATCTTGCGTGTCTTCCGATCGTCTCAGCTTGGAGAGTGGTGTTGCACATGGTCGTATGAAGCGCTCGTGTGACGTGCCGCCGCGGCCATCCATAAACGATGGACGAGTGAGTCAGGTGCTTCAAGTAATGACGAAGGAGTGGCGAAGTCGCACGGGTTTGGTAGTGAGGGAGACAACCATAGACTCACGCACCACACAGAATATCTGTTTCCTACTCACCTTCGGCTGCAGCTTACCATGCTTCGATTGTTGTTTGGTCACGTTTGGTCTCGCTGGGCGCTGAAACTCCGGTCACCAGCACCTGTGAAACTTATGGAGGTTCCTCACGGTTCCTCCAGTCTGCAAGCTGAATTGACCATTTATATATAGATCATTATAGATCGATAGCACCTAAGACCATCTGAGACCTATATACAGTAGGTATGTCATGTCTATCACCTGATCACCTGGTAGTCCATTTCTTGCACATTGGCTCTAGCTAGTCATCCCTCGTGCATGACTTGTGAACTGCGACCTATCAGAGCGAGTGGCTTTCGTCGGATCACTCATCGATCCCGAGGTCGTCAGCGACGAAGCGACCACAGTGACGCCAGAAACACAGACTCCCCAAGTGAGCTGTGCATCGTCGGCACAATCTAGGGCACCAAGTGGAATCAGCACGATATGCTGTGTAGATGACTGGGATGGAGTCAGGTGAGCAAGAAAACATAAAGATTCAACATGGTGAGATGACCAAAGGTCAAGCAGGTGCAAGAAAGGTTGAAAATGGTTGAACATGAACACCACCAACCTTGTATATAGCCCGACACCAACACCACCGTAGACCCCCTATAGCGGGTGGTTGTCTTCCTTTTGCTGGCTACCAACCTGAGAACCCTTGATCAATTTGTTGCGGATGTAACAGCACTTGTAGTCACCCAGGACTGATCGCAATGGCTGAATCAATCTGGTGCAAGAAATTGCCTCGAAGTAGGGCAGTGGCTTTATGCGGAGAAATCCAGCTGCCTTCCTGCGAAATCTGTTGGGCGAACATGTCCGTCAGTCAAACAAGCAAAATAAGCAAACTTTTAGGACAAACAGGTTTATTAAACAACTCTACATTAAACACGACTCCAAAAGAGCATGGAAGACCACCCTGCCTGTTTGTAGCAGAGGTCTTCAG